TAGTTATATGAGAAAATGTTTAAAAAAAGGTCTAAAATTTCCAAAATATTAAAAATGTCTTTAAAAATCCAGAAAATAAAGCATATTTTCGATTATTCAAAAAATATTACGTTTATATCTCAAATTGTAACAATAGTTTTAATCATAACAGACTTATAGAAAGGTATAAGAAAAAAGGAATCATATATCTATATTTAAGGCACCTTTTTGATACAATAAAAGACTTTTTTTGAGAAAATAAATTTCAAAAAAAAATTGAAAAATTAATATTTTATAGCTTTATCACTAAAAAATATAATATAAAAACATACTTAATATTTTGCTAATATTTCATATATATCTATTTTTAAAATAAAGGCTCAGAAAAACAATTACAAAAACAAAATATAATTGTTATATTTTACTGATCAAATGGTTTTAAAAGATACAGATTCCAAAAGAAGAGCAAAAAAAAAGTAAATATGGAAAATAAAACAATATTAAAATAAAAATGTTATATTCTTAAAATAAAAATCCGAAATAAAGATATCAATATAAATTATGATCACGAATTTCTATAGCATACAAAATATTTCCAAATAGTTTTGCAATATCATTTAAAATATATTGCATTGTTATATTTGGATCTAAAATTAATAATTATAAGAAAATTATAGAAGAATAAACAAATAAACAATTACTTATTAAACCGACTGATCATTTATATAACTCAAAAACGGGCTAGCGCAAAGAATTAGTGATAATACTGTTAAATTTGTACAAATCTTTTCAAAATAAGAATGTTTGATATCTCAATGTAAACATTGGATGTTGAGTATCATCCATGAAAAGATTATAATAAGCTAAAAATATAAAAATCATCTATTAGATAATAATGAAGCTTCTGAATACTATAATAAAAAAAATATGCTTATGTTAGTAATTTGAATAAATTAAAAAATATTTTTTTTAAGTATTTTAACAATAAAAATCAAAAATTACGAAAAATATTAAGTTATTTTTTTTACATCTTAGAAATACAAAAAAATTAATTATTATAGCTCCAAATATTTTAAGAAATCGAAAATTTTGTAATAAAATTAACTATGAATAGTCAAGAATTTTAGAAAATTTAACTAAATTTAAAAACATTAATAAAAGAAATTAATAGGAAAAATTTATAGAGATACAACTAAATTAAGGCTATAAAGATTTAGAAAGTTATTAAAAGTTGAAAAAACTAATAAAAGCATAGATGAATTTGACATTTTTAATAAATTTAGAAAAAAATTTAAAAAATCAAATACTAATTTGATAATATTATTTGTTAAAAAACACATAAGAATCAAATAATAAATAAGAAAAGTATAAAAACTAAGAAACTATAAAAGTAGTTAAATATATTATTAAATTGAAAAAAATATATTAATAAATATGGCATAAATCAAAGTTATAAAGAAAAGAACAAAAAAGCTGTCAATATTAAAGTTAATATATCCGAGCTAATTACATATATATTAAATATATAAAGTTGAAAATAATATACAAAACATTATATTGAGTTTAGTTTTTAAAAAGGGTCTCGAACTTAAAATTATTTATAAGTCGAAAAAATATACAGAAAATTAGAGCTATTTAAAATCTATTTAAAAACAATATTGATGATAAACATCGCTGATAACAAGGACACCAATATCAACAGTGATAATAATAATAGTGAAAAGAGAAAACATATTCATAATAATAACAGAATGAAGAATTTACATTAATACATACCACAAGTATATTACTATATGTGTAACGTTAACATATATTAATACTATATATACACCAATACTGATGTTAATTATAATATTAAAAGAATATAAATCTATGAAATTTACATATATCACCGATAAATCTATGGATATAAACCAACTAAAATATTGATAACAAATGAAATATTATAAAAAATACAATAATAATAATAATTATTTTAGTAATTATTTAAAAAATAGATCTTTTAAAAACTTTAGATAACTGTGCATATTTGGAGTTAAAACAAAATGAAAGAAACGAAAGAAAAAAAATATCTGAAGAAAAATAAAAAATTATAATTGTTTTTAATTTTATACTAATTTTTTATGCTTATTCTCTGTTCATTATTTAATTAAATTATATTTCTACTCCAATCTCTTTATAATTTATCAGTTTTCTTTCTTCTCAGAAAGGGTATTTCAAAATAAATCAGTTAGAATATATCAATATATCCCTAATAAAAATTTATTTCAGTTAAATATTAAATTTTATTTATTTTTTTGAAAAACATTTATTCTTTTATAATCTACAATCAAAATCATAGTTAAAAATCACATAAATTATGAAATTTATAAAAACATACTACATAAATAAATCAACATTTATCTTATGTTTTAAGGATATTTTAAAATATAACTAAAGACTCTAAACATTTTTGGCATAAAAATGTTTTTAATTCTTTTTATACATAAAAAAGATTATAATATAAACAAAGAAAAAATCTTTACAAAAAAATACTAATAACTATCATTTTTAAAGTATATTTAGATTAATTTAATTCTTTATATTTTTTTAAGTATTTTTTATGTTACAATTAACTGAAAATAGAATTATTAAATCTAAATTAGCAATAGTGTCAAATAATTAAAGTAAAAGTGGAAAAAATGATAAAAAGATAAAATTCAAACTAAGTAATTTTTGCTTTTAATTTTAGAAGATTTAAACAAAGAAATAGAAAAAATAAGAACCGGCTAAAAAAATAAATCTAAGTCCAAATAAAGTAAACTTAAAACTTTAAATGATAGACATAAAGTGTAAGAATTTTATAAAAATTTGAAGAATAATGATTTCAAAGAATTTACTAATTTTGAGATGACACTAAAATATCCTTAAAATCATTATAAGTAAATAGTGAATATATGAAAATAAACAATGGTACTTATTTTAAAGAATAAATATTATGGTAAGGTACATTAGAATTCAGGAAATTTGGTTGAATTTACATAGAAAAATTATAAACGATTAAGACAAATCTTAAAATTAAAAATTGTTTTTTTAAATTGAATAAAAAATAAACAAATGAAAAAATATACTTATGAAAAGAACTTAAAGAGCTTTTTGGAGTGACAGAAATAAACTGCTATTCTAGAAAAATAAATCAATAATTTAATTAAAAACACTGCCAGTTAAAGGGCATCTTTTACTTATATTATTTTACTTTTACACGCTAAATAAAACAATAATTATAAATATAAATATAAAAGGTCTAAAGATAAATTCAAGGGAAAAAACTATATACATATTGTGAGGATTATCTTTTAATTAAAACGCTATTTATTATAACTATACAAAGAATAGACTTAAAGAATCTTTAAAACAGTAGTAAAAGACCGTCTTTTTAAAGGCGTTATTCTAGAAACTAAATATTGGTGTTATAAATCCAATGAGTTTTTAGAAATAATATTAAAAGTTAAAAGAATATGTAAAGAATTGACGGAATATATGATATAGTTGGTAATAAAATAAAAAACATCTAGTAATCTAAACATTTGGCTATTAAAGGGATCAAGATTTTTAAGATTATATGAAAAATATTTTTTAAAGAAAAAAACAAAACCATCATCAGGTCAAATGGATTATCAAAAAGATGGACGATGAAAGTAATATAACTAAATTTTATTTTTAAAAAGATTTCTTAAGTTCTAAAAAAACATTCAGAAGCTTGAGGATATATATTGTACAAAGAAATGAGTATATCGACTACTAAATTATTAAAGAATAAAATATATTAGGTATTTTCCAATCTAACATTATTAAATAAGCATAAAAAATATTAAAACCTTAATAAATTAATATTAAAAATTAAGTAAATATTATCTGCATTATTGCTTACAAAATTATGGTATATATGAAGAATCAATAGAACGTTAAAAACTGATAAAAGCTTTAAAAATAATCAATATCTTTAAAGACACTAATAAAATAGCAAGATTAAAAGTATTATAATTCTTTTTAACATATAATATTATGTTAACCTAATAGTTAAAGGAGAACATAGAAACATTAATAAACACTCGAGTCTGAAAGATTATTACAGAAATTTCAACAGAACTTTTATATTGTAGAAAAATGATATTGCTAAAACTAACATAAACTTCAGAATCGACACCTCTAGCAATTTTTTTGGATGAGCTGAAAAATAATACGTGGTGTTATTAACCTAATTCACGGGATTCACAGAAAAATTAAGCAAAGGAATAAGTCTTTTTAAGAGCTCAACATAATAAAGTTCTACAGAAAAATATTAGTATTATTTTGTTAGTCTCTAAAATATTAAATAATGAAGATAATTATAGTCGATGATAGAACTAAGTAACTAAATAATGCTATCTTCATTTCATTTGGAATAATTAGAAAAAAAATATTATATTAGGTTTTTAAAACTGATACTTAAAAACATATATATAGCTTTTAAATTACGATCTTAAAGATATAAAACAGTGCATCCTAAATATAATAGCTTTATCCGGAACTATAAAGGAGTAAACTATATAATTTTAAATAGACTATACATATTTTAATTCAAATACGGGGCTTTATATTTTAGTATTAAACTAGAATTTAATTATACTTTAGGTAAACTTTAGTTTTATAAGTCTTTAGGCTCTACTAATTTTTTTAGTTAAATAGACTTAATATATTAAATAAAAATAATACATAAATTAATATAAATCACTGTTAAGATACATGAGTTACAGAATATATCATTAAGTTCATACGATTTAGAATGTTCAAAATTAATAGTTTTTAAAAAAATAATTTTTTTATGAAAACTCTAAAAAGTAATATGCTTATTTTATAGCATCAGACTAATTATTATATGGATATTTACTTTTTTTTTTAAGTACCGAAATTCACATGATTTTTTCATTTTAAATATAATTTTAAAAATTTCGCATCGTCTTTAAATAACCAAAAGCAAGGTTCTTGCTTTCATTTAATCCATGAAAGCCCTTGTATTTTCTCTTTTTTTTTGCGCAGCATCTGTTTTTTCAAGGAGCGTTGATACTTCCAGTTAGATTTCTCTTTTTTTTTTTGTAATTTAACTTTTTAGAGCATCTTAGTAGAAGATCTGGATTAAAGACTGATTTAGAGTATGAACTCCTTAATGTGCACCATATGTTAGTCATTAATGAGTTATATTTAGTGAATTAGTTCTTCAGTCTATATTTTTTTCAGGTTATGATTGCAACAGATACCGTAAATCGTTATGTATGTCATGGTATCGGCAATATGGTGGCTCCAAAGGATTGGGTAGCCAAATGAATACGTATTGTGGAAGATATGGTGCTATTAACTGTGATGAAATTTACGAGCAACTTGAGCAAAAAGCCGAAGAACTTGAAGAAACGTTATCAGAATTAAGGCATCCTACAACCACTCAATGTCATCACTTTGCAGGACTATGTTTATTTTTAAAACCTCTTTTTCCTGAGCTTGAAGATGCTTGCAACAAATTTGGAGCTAGATGTTATATGCAAACACGTCATGATGCAGCAGTTGGTGTTCTTTTAAAAGGGCTTACTGGTAAAATGGATACACCAGAGAATTGTAGAAATGCATTAGGAAGTCTTTGCCTCTACCTTTCTGGACTTTTTCCGGAACTAAGATCTTTATGTCTATTTTGGCCCGGTACATGCACTCATCTTAAGAAAATTGCAGATGAGCAATGTCAAAATCTTGAAAATGAATTAGAAGCTGTATCAGGTGAAAATTCCAGTGAAGAAAAATGTCAATTAGTTGGAGAATGTTCTCACGTTTCAGGTAATTGTAATGATCAGGTGAAGGCAGACTGTCAAGAACTTACTACAGCATGTGCAAAGAATAAACATGCAAAACGTTCACAATTAGACGAAATTCCACATACAAATAAGACTTTGGTGGAAGGTGTTTTCAATAAAACACTTGAAGAGACAAGCGTTTTTATACAAGTTCATGAAGCAGTTAGTGAAGAACCACATGATCCTTCATTAGCTCTTATGCTTTTGGGTGAAAATGGTCATCATCGTCATCATCATCGTCACCTTGAATCTCAATGTCATCGGCATTTAAACAACTGTTCTCTTTACGATACTGATCCACTTATCAATGAGTTATGTACAAATGGCCATGAAAATTCTAAAGGAGAAGAAGCTTGTCACAAGTTTCCACATAGACTCACTCGGCCTAGCAATGGTTATCTTTATAGTTATCATTTATTTTTTTCAGAGATATGATGTATACTTAATATTGAAACATTTTTGCATTATTTTTCATCAATTTGCTTCTTTTCTTGTCTAATTTCAAATAATATTTTTTTTAATTTCTTAAATTTTTCTTAGTTGTTAAAAAAGCTTTCTTAATCGTTTTGTCATACTTCTGACAATATAGGTTCCTTAGATTATTGTAAACATCGACATTATTAGGGGATATTTCCTCTGAAAGTATGAATTTTTGTTTATTTTCTTTATAATTGCCATTTATTAATTTTGAAGGTGCTTATCGACTAAAAGCTTTTTTTAAATTCGGTATATAAATTCAATATATTTATTTTAAACTACGTTTTCAAGTTCTGAAGATTTTTATTTTTTTATTTATAAAAATATTTACAAGTTTATTTTATGTATTTTAACATTAAGTTTCTAAAATTCTACATTATCTTTTATATTTTTTCACATTTTTTCCCCATATTACATACTTTTGAAAATTAAATCTAAAAAATACATCTTAAAATCATTATACATTTTTATTTGTTCCTTAATTAGAAGCTCATAAGCTTAATATATAAGACTACCATTAAAAAAACACATTTGCTTTTATAGAATATACATGATCAAACAAAACTTAAATGCTCAAGTATTCCGCAAAAAACAAAGCAAAATGAAATTTAATGCAAAATCTAATTCGCGTGTTCATCATTTTTAGGAAATTAATCAATTTTCGGTGGCTCTCCATTTGAGGATCCATCATCTGAAGGTTTATCATCATCTGAAGGCTCATCATTTTCTGAAGGACCCTCTTCTAAGAGACCATTTTCCGAGTCTTCCGACTCTTGATATAGGGATTCAGAAACACTTTCTAAAGTATCACATGTAGAATCAAGTTTTAGACAATAATAGAGTCCAAATAAATCTGAAGGAGGTATTTTTTTACAGTTATTGGCTAGTTGTTTTTGACAATATTGCGAATCACTTGTTAAGCTAGAATAATCATTGTAATCTTTACCCAATATATGTTCAAGAGCTGCTTTTGCTAATGAAGTTTCATAACAATGTGCTGTATATTTAATACATTCATCTTGAATATGTTTGCCTCCATAATGACCAAAAAAATAGCACAGTCCATAAACATATTCACATTCACTCACATCAACATTAGCAGAATATAAACGAGAGAAAGGATCAGTATCTCCTAAAACAGATCCTCCTTGAGAAAAAAAGTTCGTAAGATTAGCAAGATAACCATTGCTAGGCCGAGTGAGTCTATGTGGAAACTTGTGACAAGCTTCTTCTCCTTTAGAATTTTCATGGCCATTTGTACATAACTCATTGATAAGTGGATCAGTATCGTAAAGAGAACAGTTGTTTAAATGCCGATGACATTGAGATTCAAGGTGACGATGATGATGACGATGATGACCATTTTCACCCAAAAGCATAAGAGCTAATGAAGGATCATGTGGTTCTTCACTAACTGCTTCATGAACTTGTATAAAAACGCTTGTCTCTTCAAGTGTTTTATTGAAAACACCTTCCACCAAAGTCTTATTTGTATGTGGAATTTCGTCTAATTGTGAACGTTTTGCATGTTTATTCTTTGCACATGCTGTAGTAAGTTCTTGACAGTCTGCCTTCACCTGATCATTACAATTACCTGAAACGTGAGAACATTCTCCAACTAATTGACATTTTTCTTCACTGGAATTTTCACCTGATACAGCTTCTAATTCATTTTCAAGATTTTGACATTGCTCATCTGCAATTTTCTTAAGATGAGTGCATGTACCGGGCCAAAATAGACATAAAGATCTTAGTTCCGGAAAAAGTCCAGAAAGGTAGAGGCAAAGACTTCCTAATGCATTTCTACAATTCTCTGGTGTATCCATTTTACCAGTAAGCCCTTTTAAAAGAACACCAACTGCTGCATCATGACGTGTTTGCATATAACATCTAGCTCCAAATTTGTTGCAAGCATCTTCAAGCTCAGGAAAAAGAGGTTTTAAAAATAAACATAGTCCTGCAAAGTGATGACATTGAGTGGTTGTAGGATGCCTTAATTCTGATAACGTTTCTTCAAGTTCTTCGGCTTTTTGCTCAAGTTGCTCGTAAATTTCATCACAGTTAATAGCACCATATCTTCCACAATACGTATTCATTTGGCTACCCAATCCTTTGGAGCCACCATATTGCCGATACCATGACATACATAACGATTTACGGTATCTGTTGCAATCATAACCTGAAAAAAATATAGACTGAAGAACTAATTCACTAAATATAACTCATTAATGACTAACATATGGTGCACATTAAGGAGTTCATACTCTAAATCAGTCTTTAATCCAGATCTTCTACTAAGATGCTCTAAAAAGTTAAATTACAAAAAAAAAAAGAGAAATCTAACTGGAAGTATCAACGCTCCTTGAAAAAACAGATGCTGCGCAAAAAAAAAGAGAAAATACAAGGGCTTTCATGGATTAAATGAAAGCAAGAACCTTGCTTTTGGTTATTTAAAGACGATGCGAAATTTTTAAAATTATATTTAAAATGAAAAAATCATGTGAATTTCGGTACTTAAAAAAAAAAGTAAATATCCATATAATAATTAGTCTGATGCTATAAAATAAGCATATTACTTTTTAGAGTTTTCATAAAAAAATTATTTTTTTAAAAACTATTAATTTTGAACATTCTAAATCGTATGAACTTAATGATATATTCTGTAACTCATGTATCTTAACAGTGATTTATATTAATTTATGTATTATTTTTATTTAATATATTAAGTCTATTTAACTAAAAAAATTAGTAGAGCCTAAAGACTTATAAAACTAAAGTTTACCTAAAGTATAATTAAATTCTAGTTTAATACTAAAATATAAAGCCCCGTATTTGAATTAAAATATGTATAGTCTATTTAAAATTATATAGTTTACTCCTTTATAGTTCCGGATAAAGCTATTATATTTAGGATGCACTGTTTTATATCTTTAAGATCGTAATTTAAAAGCTATATATATGTTTTTAAGTATCAGTTTTAAAAACCTAATATAATATTTTTTTTCTAATTATTCCAAATGAAATGAAGATAGCATTATTTAGTTACTTAGTTCTATCATCGACTATAATTATCTTCATTATTTAATATTTTAGAGACTAACAAAATAATACTAATATTTTTCTGTAGAACTTTATTATGTTGAGCTCTTAAAAAGACTTATTCCTTTGCTTAATTTTTCTGTGAATCCCGTGAATTAGGTTAATAACACCACGTATTATTTTTCAGCTCATCCAAAAAAATTGCTAGAGGTGTCGATTCTGAAGTTTATGTTAGTTTTAGCAATATCATTTTTCTACAATATAAAAGTTCTGTTGAAATTTCTGTAATAATCTTTCAGACTCGAGTGTTTATTAATGTTTCTATGTTCTCCTTTAACTATTAGGTTAACATAATATTATATGTTAAAAAGAATTATAATACTTTTAATCTTGCTATTTTATTAGTGTCTTTAAAGATATTGATTATTTTTAAAGCTTTTATCAGTTTTTAACGTTCTATTGATTCTTCATATATACCATAATTTTGTAAGCAATAATGCAGATAATATTTACTTAATTTTTAATATTAATTTATTAAGGTTTTAATATTTTTTATGCTTATTTAATAATGTTAGATTGGAAAATACCTAATATATTTTATTCTTTAATAATTTAGTAGTCGATATACTCATTTCTTTGTACAATATATATCCTCAAGCTTCTGAATGTTTTTTTAGAACTTAAGAAATCTTTTTAAAAATAAAATTTAGTTATATTACTTTCATCGTCCATCTTTTTGATAATCCATTTGACCTGATGATGGTTTTGTTTTTTTCTTTAAAAAATATTTTTCATATAATCTTAAAAATCTTGATCCCTTTAATAGCCAAATGTTTAGATTACTAGATGTTTTTTATTTTATTACCAACTATATCATATATTCCGTCAATTCTTTACATATTCTTTTAACTTTTAATATTATTTCTAAAAACTCATTGGATTTATAACACCAATATTTAGTTTCTAGAATAACGCCTTTAAAAAGACGGTCTTTTACTACTGTTTTAAAGATTCTTTAAGTCTATTCTTTGTATAGTTATAATAAATAGCGTTTTAATTAAAAGATAATCCTCACAATATGTATATAGTTTTTTCCCTTGAATTTATCTTTAGACCTTTTATATTTATATTTATAATTATTGTTTTATTTAGCGTGTAAAAGTAAAATAATATAAGTAAAAGATGCCCTTTAACTGGCAGTGTTTTTAATTAAATTATTGATTTATTTTTCTAGAATAGCAGTTTATTTCTGTCACTCCAAAAAGCTCTTTAAGTTCTTTTCATAAGTATATTTTTTCATTTGTTTATTTTTTATTCAATTTAAAAAAACAATTTTTAATTTTAAGATTTGTCTTAATCGTTTATAATTTTTCTATGTAAATTCAACCAAATTTCCTGAATTCTAATGTACCTTACCATAATATTTATTCTTTAAAATAAGTACCATTGTTTATTTTCATATATTCACTATTTACTTATAATGATTTTAAGGATATTTTAGTGTCATCTCAAAATTAGTAAATTCTTTGAAATCATTATTCTTCAAATTTTTATAAAATTCTTACACTTTATGTCTATCATTTAAAGTTTTAAGTTTACTTTATTTGGACTTAGATTTATTTTTTTAGCCGGTTCTTATTTTTTCTATTTCTTTGTTTAAATCTTCTAAAATTAAAAGCAAAAATTACTTAGTTTGAATTTTATCTTTTTATCATTTTTTCCACTTTTACTTTAATTATTTGACACTATTGCTAATTTAGATTTAATAATTCTATTTTCAGTTAATTGTAACATAAAAAATACTTAAAAAAATATAAAGAATTAAATTAATCTAAATATACTTTAAAAATGATAGTTATTAGTATTTTTTTGTAAAGATTTTTTCTTTGTTTATATTATAATCTTTTTTATGTATAAAAAGAATTAAAAACATTTTTATGCCAAAAATGTTTAGAGTCTTTAGTTATATTTTAAAATATCCTTAAAACATAAGATAAATGTTGATTTATTTATGTAGTATGTTTTTATAAATTTCATAATTTATGTGATTTTTAACTATGATTTTGATTGTAGATTATAAAAGAATAAATGTTTTTCAAAAAAATAAATAAAATTTAATATTTAACTGAAATAAATTTTTATTAGGGATATATTGATATATTCTAACTGATTTATTTTGAAATACCCTTTCTGAGAAGAAAGAAAACTGATAAATTATAAAGAGATTGGAGTAGAAATATAATTTAATTAAATAATGAACAGAGAATAAGCATAAAAAATTAGTATAAAATTAAAAACAATTATAATTTTTTATTTTTCTTCAGATATTTTTTTTCTTTCGTTTCTTTCATTTTGTTTTAACTCCAAATATGCACAGTTATCTAAAGTTTTTAAAAGATCTATTTTTTAAATAATTACTAAAATAATTATTATTATTATTGTATTTTTTATAATATTTCATTTGTTATCAATATTTTAGTTGGTTTATATCCATAGATTTATCGGTGATATATGTAAATTTCATAGATTTATATTCTTTTAATATTATAATTAACATCAGTATTGGTGTATATATAGTATTAATATATGTTAACGTTACACATATAGTAATATACTTGTGGTATGTATTAATGTAAATTCTTCATTCTGTTATTATTATGAATATGTTTTCTCTTTTCACTATTATTATTATCACTGTTGATATTGGTGTCCTTGTTATCAGCGATGTTTATCATCAATATTGTTTTTAAATAGATTTTAAATAGCTCTAATTTTCTGTATATTTTTTCGACTTATAAATAATTTTAAGTTCGAGACCCTTTTTAAAAACTAAACTCAATATAATGTTTTGTATATTATTTTCAACTTTATATATTTAATATATATGTAATTAGCTCGGATATATTAACTTTAATATTGACAGCTTTTTTGTTCTTTTCTTTATAACTTTGATTTATGCCATATTTATTAATATATTTTTTTCAATTTAATAATATATTTAACTACTTTTATAGTTTCTTAGTTTTTATACTTTTCTTATTTATTATTTGATTCTTATGTGTTTTTTAACAAATAATATTATCAAATTAGTATTTGATTTTTTAAATTTTTTTCTAAATTTATTAAAAATGTCAAATTCATCTATGCTTTTATTAGTTTTTTCAACTTTTAATAACTTTCTAAATCTTTATAGCCTTAATTTAGTTGTATCTCTATAAATTTTTCCTATTAATTTCTTTTATTAATGTTTTTAAATTTAGTTAAATTTTCTAAAATTCTTGACTATTCATAGTTAATTTTATTACAAAATTTTCGATTTCTTAAAATATTTGGAGCTATAATAATTAATTTTTTTGTATTTCTAAGATGTAAAAAAAATAACTTAATATTTTTCGTAATTTTTGATTTTTATTGTTAAAATACTTAAAAAAAATATTTTTTAATTTATTCAAATTACTAACATAAGCATATTTTTTTTATTATAGTATTCAGAAGCTTCATTATTATCTAATAGATGATTTTTATATTTTTAGCTTATTATAATCTTTTCATGGATGATACTCAACATCCAATGTTTACATTGAGATATCAAACATTCTTATTTTGAAAAGATTTGTACAAATTTAACAGTATTATCACTAATTCTTTGCGCTAGCCCGTTTTTGAGTTATATAAATGATCAGTCGGTTTAATAAGTAATTGTTTATTTGTTTATTCTTCTATAATTTTCTTATAATTATTAATTTTAGATCCAAATATAACAATGCAATATATTTTAAATGATATTGCAAAACTATTTGGAAATATTTTGTATGCTATAGAAATTCGTGATCATAATTTATATTGATATCTTTATTTCGGATTTTTATTTTAAGAATATAACATTTTTATTTTAATATTGTTTTATTTTCCATATTTACTTTTTTTTTGCTCTTCTTTTGGAATCTGTATCTTTTAAAACCATTTGATCAGTAAAATATAACAATTATATTTTGTTTTTGTAATTGTTTTTCTGAGCCTTTATTTTAAAAATAGATATATATGAAATATTAGCAAAATATTAAGTATGTTTTTATATTATATTTTTTAGTGATAAAGCTATAAAATATTAATTTTTCAATTTTTTTTTGAAATTTATTTTCTCAAAAAAAGTCTTTTATTGTATCAAAAAGGTGCCTTAAATATAGATATATGATTCCTTTTTTCTTATACCTTTCTATAAGTCTGTTATGATTAAAACTATTGTTACAATTTGAGATATAAACGTAATATTTTTTGAATAATCGAAAATATGCTTTATTTTCTGGATTTTTAAAGACATTTTTAATATTTTGGAAATTTTAGACCTTTTTTTAAACATTTTCTCATATAACTAGATATGAAAATGAAATTAAGATGTCTAAATATAAACATATTATCTTTAATATTAAACTTTATGTAGCTTGAAAACTCTGTCTAAGTACTTTTTTCCAAACATTTTTTCTTAAGGCTTTTAAAAAACTTTATTTACCAAATCACAATACTTATTAGTTAATAATTAGTATATGTTATATTAAATGCTTATTTAAAGGTATGAGAGACTCGTAAAAACATATATTTTTATTTATAATTTTTAATGATTATATGTAACTTACGCTTGATTTTTTGAACAAATAATTTTTAAGACTAAGTTAATAGTTTTGCATTTTTAATTAATTTAACTATTAAACCTGTAGATATATTTTTTACTTCTAGAAATATCTTTCAACCAAAGATGTATATTTTTTATATTTACATTATCTTTCTTTAATTCATTGCAATATTTATTTAGAGATGTTTTGTATCATTATTTTTCTAAACGATTAAAGTCAAAAAAGTATCATCTAAAAATTTTTCTCATTTATATTATGTTAATCCGATTTTTCTAATCTGAAAACATTTAAGTTAAAAAGATAGTAAACAAAGATAGCCTTTTATTCATATTATTGGTTTTGATATTTTTTAAAAAAAGATTTTTTGAACTTTTTGATAAATGTAGATTAAAAATAGTAAGGTATTATTCTTTATGTATTTTATATTCTTAAAAAATATTAGCTTTTAATATTTCTAATATATTTTTGCCAATTTTATTTCATTTAAAATTATATTTGACCTATTTTCTTTTATAGATTCAATATATTTAAGTATAATAATATAAACGATGATTTATTAATTTTTTTTTATTTTTTTAATAAAATTTGCTTTCTATTAAGATAATATTCATTATTAGAGAATATACCAATATATAATTTAATCTTCACAGTATTTATATAACTTATTTAGTTTCTAATATTTAAATATTAATTATATTTTTTATATTACTATAATATATTTTATTTTTGGCAATAAATATTTCTTAAAAGCTTAATATTTATTATAATTTAATTTAAAAATTTAACATTAACAATGAAGAATAGTTTTATTGATATTAGGGTTATTATATTAAATAAGAATTTGAATTGTTATTTTAGTTAAAATAAAAAAGGGGATAGTTTAATTATATTATTCATATATAATAGAAAATAAAACATTTTTAACTTTTTTTATTTTATTTAAATGTAAAATTTTAAAATAATTGATTTTTTTATAATTAACAGTATAATTAAAAGAAAATTTTAAATAATAAGCATGTATTGTAAAAAAATTGATTTTTTATTTAAACAAATATATATTTTTTGTGGTCTTAAAGTGAAATTTATGATATTTTTTAATTTATATTTAATATTTTAATATAATTAATAATCATAAAAAATATAATATTAATACTAATGAGTATTATAATTATTAATGAAACAATATATAATTTCAGAATTTAATATATAAAATAAATTATTCTCTTAGAAAAACTCAAAGCTTACAAATACAAATAATCAGAATTTCAATAAAAAAATCAAAATATTTTCTTAGCAATTTAAATAAAAAAAATAATTAAAAGAAAAAATTAACTAAAAAAAAAAAACAAAAATAAAATATTTTTGTCTAAGAATTTTATCTTAAAACAAAAATATATATAATTCAAAAAAAGAAAAAACAATTATCTGAATTCAAATATAGAAAAAGTCCTATTACCATCATGTTGAAGAGTAAGTTGTTGAAATCTATTTTTAAAATTAGTTTAAAAATACTAAGTAATTTACTTTACTGCTCAGAATTTTTATGGTAATATATCCCTGATATACTTCCTACAGACTGCTGAAAACATATATAATAACTAGAAAAATATTAGATTGTTTAAACATCAAAAAAAATCTTACAAGCCAGCATAACTAATCCCATTAAGAGCCATACTATAATCTGACATTGGCTCGTTGTTATTATCAGAAACTATATGCATTTCTTTCCATCTCATAAAAACATGATCTTTAAACAATTCATATTTATATTTGAATTCCGGCTTTTTAATATTTTTTGCAAATGGTCTAAAAGCTTGAAACCTTATCCAATGCTGAAGATCAATTTTTTCAGTAGACCCCCATTCTGGGTGCTTGGTAATAAAGCCATATTTTGAACCAATAATTTCCCCTTCAAAATATGTCGTCAAAGATGAATTATCTTTGGTTAAGCCTTGAATATGAAGATATCCGCACAAAAATGATTCTTTAGGGTCTACATACTGAAAATCCACTGATACTTCATATAAAGCTCTTCCAGATTGTTGTGTACCTCTAATTATTAATGAGTATTTAAAAAATATAATGTTAATTTACATAAAAGAAGCACCTGAACGTAAAAAAGAGGTATGTAATGTAGACAACTGTAGATTTGTAATTAACTATTATAATGTATAAAAATATAAATATTTTACCCTCATTGTAGATAATTCTTTCTCAAATGATGGCTGAACATATGTTGAGCTTTTCAATGACAATTCTTCTTTTGAAGATTCACTATCCTCTGACTGATACATCAATTGATCTTCTTGGTTTGTAGGCTTAGGTTGATTGCAAATAATATTTGAAAGTACTGGCATTATATTGTCAATATAGTTGAATATTTTTGATAATGATGTTTTTTTTTTAATTATATTGATGTAATAGTCTTAAATATTTCTAAAGAAATTAATAATATTCTATTAAAAAAATATTTTTTCAAAAATACATTTAAAAATTATGAAAAGCTTTCATTAATAAAAATCGTAAAAGTTCTATTTTATTCTCAAAATTAAAAAAATATAAAACAAAAAATAAATTAATTTAAAATATAAATGAAATATTATTAAAAATAAATTATAATAATATTACTATTTTTAAATGAATATTATTACAAGAATATATAATTTTTTTTAAAAAAAACATAGATCAGTAAAATAAAAAAAGTATAATAATATAATTTAAAATTGAAAAAATTAAAAAAGAGGTTAAATTATTGTTGTACATATTGTACATAATGTATATAATTTTATAATTTTTCATAATTTTAAAGCACAAAGTACTTCGAAAAGAAAAATTTTTTAAAAAACAAAAATTAACTTAATATAAAATTGATTCAGAATTCTATGACTAGCAAAAAAAGTACATCAAAACAATCAAAATCACGTTCAACACCAGTTTCTAAGAAAAAAAAGGCAACAGTTTCTATAGATGTAAATCCGTTTATAAGTTATTAAAATTAATATATTTTAGGATTTGAGCCTTCCTAGGACTGCTGTCCTAAAATTAGTAAAAAAAGTAATTCCGGAACATACAAATATTCAAAAAGATGCAGTAACAGCTTTAATGAGAGGATCATCTGTTTTTATCAGCTATCTTTCTTCTACGTTTTTTTTAATAATATTCATTATCACTTTCTAATAACTTTAGTGCATTTGAACTCTCTAAAGTCTCATCAAGAAAAGTAATTCTTCCTTCAGATGTTATAAAAGCAATGGAAAACATTGAATTTGATTCATTTATCCCTAGAATGATAGAGGAACTTAAATGTAATACTTGCCTTTATCTTTTATATACTAATGAATATCTAGTGCATGAAGTAATTGTTAAAGAAAAAAAAAATGCAATGAAATCAGATAAAGATTCACCTACATGTATTGAAGTTAAAGATGAACATATTAGCAAGAAAATGAAAACAGAAGATGGAGCTGAAACAGTTGAAGCTGACATAAATCATGATTATGAGTATTACGATGACACATGTGATGACGAAGGAAGTGAATATAAAGGTGAAGAAGTAGAGAATGAAGAATTAGAAGAATTGATAGTAAGCAATGAGGATCTATTAAATGATTAACATAAATAAATAAATAAAGGTGGTCAGCCCTGTGCTTTAACATTATTAGTCATTAAAGCCTAATATTTGAGAATAAGAGGTAAATTAATAAATAGTAAATTTTAAAAATTAATTTTATTAGTAATTAAAATAAATTACTATATGTATTTTTGAAAGATAATTATACAAGGTTTATAAATAAAAATTATACAAATGTGTTTTATGGTTAATAATTTTAAGATTTCGATTTTTCTAATTTATTTTATAAAAACTAAATTTAGTTCAATTATTAATATTTATGCGTTTAGAATATCTCGGTCTTAGTATTTTAATTATTTCTAGATTAATATTGAACATTTTTTGTATTTTTAAAATATTAATTATAAAACGCAACAAAAATAGTGTAGTAGAATCTATTAACAATTTCTTATATTTATTAACTTATATTTATTAATCTATATATATCAAATATCTCTATGATTATAAATTGTAATTTTTAATGTTTTTTTTTTTTTT